CCCCCCCCAACACACACACACATACGCAGCTCATCTGGACAGGCCACTCATCTTGTCTGACCGACGGACCGTCTGGTTCTGCAGCTTGATGCTCATCCACTTGGGCCTCATGTCGCACTTGAGGTCCTTCTCCCTCAGGTAAGGGGAGGGCCGCTTGTACATCCTGAGGGGCACCCACATCTCGGCGGCGAACGGCGTCTCCCGCCAGAGGTAGTGGGGCGACTTGCCCTGAATCCGGAAGCCGGCGTCGTGGCTGCCCGACGTGGCGGCATCCTTGAGCATGGCGTCACTGTAGCCACGCTGCGGCAGCTCACGCTGGTCTAGACCCTCCTCGCCGTACTGGTGGCGCATCACCTCTGTTGGCACAGATGATAGATAGTATTAGGGGGTATTAGTGGTCGGGGGTGTCTCGTTCGCTATGGTGCCTGCCTGAGGCACTTATAAGTATACCCTACCTACCTTGGAATTTCCGTTCCTGAGGCTCCGTGAGGTTCCAGTGCTGCCACAGGGGACTCACGCCAGTCATCATCTGGCCCTGACAGACAGACAGACAGACACGCACACAGAGAGAGAGAGAGAGAGGGAGAGAGAGGCAAATCCACGTCTGTGTGTCTGCGGAGGGGATCTCGACAGACGGGACAGGATGGTCGGTGCCCACCGACCTCCAGTTTTCTCAAGAGCTCCTCCTGTGTGGGCGCCTGTGCGTCCAGCTGTGACTTGTCAACATCTTCCAGCCGATGCTTCTTGTCGGACAGACGCACCACACCCGTGTTGGAGGGATGGTTGGCCGGCAGGGTGGCCCTCCTCGCCTCCAGGGGCAAAGGCGAGGATTCCCTCGGCTCGCTGCGGACCTCGGTGGGCGCCGGGGGTGGGTGGTGTGGCTCTTGATGGGCCTGCGGCGGGTGCTGCTGTGGCGCATCAATGCCTTCTGCTGTCACGTTGTGACGTTTCTTGACGACGGCCTTCTTGCCGAGCAGCTCCACTGCCTGAGGCCATACTCACACACGCACAGGCAGACAGACAGACAGTGTGGTGCAAAGCTTAAGGCGCACCCACGCGCAGATGCGTGTGTGTGTGTGCGTGTGTTTGGACATGCGGACCTCTTCCCTTGTCAGCCTCCGCGGCTTCTCGCCAGGAGCGGTGAAGTCCACCAATCGCAGGTCCATCCTGCAGGTGGCCAGACACGCAGCAACATATCCCACTAACGAGGCGCACACGTTCACCACTGCACTGCACATGCTTGTGCGTGCATCTGGCTTGTGTGGTGTGGTGTGACCCCCGCGCCTCCCTCGCCCTACACGAATCTGAAGTCAGGTGGCAGCAGGTCGACTCGGATGAGTTCCGCCAGCTGCTCGCGAGGGGCGAACAGCTCCGGTGAGCACACAAATATCGCCCTCTCGGCGCGACGCATCGTCTGCAGGGCCTTCTGGAACCCCGGAGCCATACCCTCCTGCACAAGACACACCACACCCAGACAGACAGACAGACAGGGAGAGGGGGAGGGATAGAGTGACAACGACACCCATCCACTGGACATCGGACACCTGACTGACCATGTCGAATTCAGCGGCGCTTGAGGTGTTCATGGCGAAGACATCGGGACCGTTCTCGATCTTGAGGGCGACGGTGGCCATGACCCTGCTGTCGACAGCCGGCCTGTTCCGGTCCCTCAGGTCAGCACGATCAAGATTGACGGGCTCCATCTTCTTGGTGTAGGGGTTCTCCATCACGGGCATGCGCTTGTCGTCCATGCCGTCGTCGAGCATCTTCTTCCACATCTTGCCCTTCACCAGCTCCTCCCAGCCGCTCCGCTGCGATAGCCACCGCACGTTGTCCGGCACGTGCTCGTCCGCTCGCGGCAGGTCCTCATACTCGTGTTGATCACGATGGCGTTGATGGTGCTGATCATGGCGGTGAAAGTCGCCCTCCGTGTCGAACAGACGAGTGCGCAAGCAACGACGACCTCTGCCGCCGCCAACCGGTCTCCTGGTGCTGACGTGACGCTCAAACACAAGAGCAGATCTTCGCTGCCGGTGGGCATGAGCGGGGAGGGGAGAAACGCCGCTGCTTGCGAGGAGAGCGGTCCAGCGCTGTGGTCGTGGTTGCCACGCCACGGCGTTTGGTGGGTTGCGAAGAGCAGCAAGGACAACGAGCAGGGCGGCGGGAAGACTCATCAGATCATCGAAAATGCGACTCGCCTTCACCACACAGCATCCGCCCCTTCTCAGAATGAACCATAGAGATCATTTCAGAAGGGAAAGAAGCTCGCAAGATTGTAAGCTCGCATTTGAGCACCTTGGGATGATGGCGCATGTGTTGCCTCTGCAGGTGTGGCAGCATCGAGTGCTGTCCAATGGGCGTCTGCGATATGAGCAGAGTGAGATCTTCGTCACGCGCCAGCGGCACCTCGGCTGTCTACTGCACTCTCATTCTCGGCCGCATCGACGCATTGCTGAAGTGCCATGGGCTCAGTGGGCTGATTAACGTCGACAGACATGGCGGGAAGGCTGGGGCGGCTCCGCTGCCCGGCGGCCTCTCGCGCATCGACTACCTGTGCCTCTGGTGATATCGGCCGAGTGGGTGCAGCAGCACTGGCCCACCAGGGCCGCGTTGCGCCAGCTGCCGCTCGCACTGGCCATCTACAAGACCATCGGCCATCTGCTAAGCCACAGAGGCGACAGCCTGGCCCTGACAACAGACGACCAGACTGGCGAGAATGGCGAGGTCAGACACATCAGAGGGGACATTCATGACTGACGTCTGCTGTCGTCATGCCGTTGCCATGCGTTTCTGTCTGCAGGATGGTGGGCCTGACGAGAGTGGCGAGCAAGAGGAGGATCTAGCCGGGCGGGTGGACAGTGGCGGAGCTGAGGAGGTCGGTGGAGAACACATCAAGACATGAGCGTGTTCACTGCACCCGCACGTGTGCCCCCTACTCAGGACGACGGCCAAGAGGGGCCCATGGCGTCTGACGATTGCCAGGTCAGCAACACCCATACTGATGTGGTGTGGTGCTTTGATGGACGGCTCGTGTGTGTGGTGCATGGTGTGGCGGTTTGCAGGACGCCCTGATTGGCGATGGCGACGGCCAGGCGGCCGGTGGGGGGCAGCCGACGGAACCTGACGACGACGTAGGCATTGACTGCACTGCCCAATAGGAAGGGGCACACGGGTTTGGTGTCCGCTGATTGTGTGTTTGTGTGTGCGAGCAGGACCACAGTGAGGAGAGTGACGACCACCACAACTATCTCCACAAGGTCGGCGATGTGCGCTTCCGCATTCTGCCGGCCTATGAGGCCCCGGGCACCACCCCCACGACACAAACGACCCGGCCGTCAAGGAGGACTCCGCTGACGGCGTTCGGTATCGCTACTCGTCATCCTCGGTCTTCATGACGGACAACCTCATGTGCTACTGGTCCCGTCACGAGGCAGCGGGCCAGCAGGAGATCCTGACGGCGCCAGTCCCACACACTGATGCCCGCCTTCGGTCCCTCATGGCCACAGAGGCCTTGGGCGACTGCATCGTGGCGGACATGCATGTGGTGCTGTGTGGCCATCGGCCGAATGAGACCGTCGCTGCGCACCTTCGGGTTGCGCGTTTTGGACACGTTTTTGGACACATAGATATCCACACAACGGAGGGGCGTGTGAGTGGTGGTGTGTCTGTTGACGAGTGCTATCCCACTACCGTCCGCCATGCCCGTGGTGTGCTTAAACGAGTCAGCCTAGAGAGGGATGTGGTAGACCAGGGCAGGCGCATGCAGACAAACTGTGTGGATGGAGTGATGGAACGACGCATCGCATGATGTGGGGTCTCGGATCGTTCAGCTTACATTCTGTCGATCATTCAGCTTACATTCGATGAGTCAATCGTTCATGACATCTATTGCTTCTCTGTCAATCGTTCATTCAGCTTGTGTTCTCGTTAGCAGCGCATCGGTCCAGTGTCTCTGTCGGGCCGGACTGTAGGTGTGACGTACACACTCATGGCTCGGCGTGTTCTCTGTCACGTGACATCGTCAATCGTTCAAATTAGTCTCTTAGTTTTGGCTACTGGCACCAACACTAGAAGTATACATCCCATCACCCAGTCACTTGACCGTCCCCGCTCCCGATCGGAGCGCTCCCATCCCTAACTTCACCACATATGGCATATGGCATATGGCATATGGCATATGGCATATGGCATATGGCATATGGCATATATCCCATTCGCCCCTCTGTGGACACACAGTGTCTACACACACACACACACATTCGCTCGCACAGACACAAATAAGTACAGACACAAATAAGTACAGACACAAATCCACACACACACACACAGATCACGATGTCGGCAATGAGAATGACCGTGCCCTCTCGGCCCCCTCGGTCACCGAAGCGCCAAGAGGGCCGCGCCCCCCCACCGAAGTCACCCGGCCGCTCACATCTATTGTGTCAATGAGCGTCCCAGGGGCGCCGTTGCTGGTGTCAAACACCATCACCGCGCCCTTCCGCGCGAACAGGACGGTGTCTGGTGAGGCCACGGCTACACTCACCGCTCCCCCACCACCGCCTGTGCCGACGGGGCGGACCTCCACGTCGGCCGCTCTCTTGCCAACGACAAGGGGGGTGACATCAGTGACGGTCATCGAGCCGTGAGCAGTGTACATGAGCACTGCGCCGTTTCTCCGCTGCACAGCCGTCACGAGCGCGAAGTTGGCTGGCCCCACGGCGTTTTCAAACCCCGAGCCGGGAATCCGGATGTCATCGATGGCTCGCACGCCATCCTCATCGATGGCCAGCACGAGGATGCCAAATCGACTGGTGCCCGGACTCTCGAAATCGGTGGACATGAGGGCTACGTCTCTGCTGGCCATCGTGACGTCGGGGAAGCCAATCACGCCTGCGACTTGCTCGTTCAGCACGATGTTGTCGCCGATCCGCGCGCTGGAAGTGTCGTACTTCCAGGCGGAGAGCCCGCCGGTGCCGCCGCTCACCACCAGCGTCCCGCCCTTTGCGGAAATGCCCACGAAGGGGAACGCATTCACGTTGCTGATGACCGGGCCGGCCTGTGATATCGATGTGATGTCTGCCGGGTCTTCCAGCAAGAAGGCGACGACCGATTCTGAGGCGGCGGAGATGCCAAAAACGGCTTAAGGGCTTTCGGGGTTTTCGGGGTCGACGGGGTCGACGGTGACGTCATCGATGGACTCTACTCCATTGGGGAGAGGGACCGAAAAAGATTCCTGACACACCCCAACAACACAGACTGTCACCGTGTTTTGAGTCCTTCTCGGGCATGGATCTCACGTCGCCCCGTTGAAGCAGCAGCCCAGCGCTTCCGAGTGCTGTCAGCACGATTCTGCCGCCCTGGACGGCGGGTGTCACGACCACATTCTGCCCCCAAGCAGCCGGCAGGTGGAGGAGAACCAGCACGCTAAGGCGACGAAGCCAAAGCATACGGTAGAATCAAGATGATCAGACGCTCTGGTCGCTTTCCGTGTAGCAGGGCGTGAACACAGCAGGCGACCAAGCTGGGAAGAAAGAGCGTCAAGCATCCCAATACCCATTATTTCCAAAGTACTATAATTTCAAAGCGCTTCGTGGTGGTGTGCCCAAAGGACACTTTTCCAAACGAGGAGATGGGCGGGCGGAGATGCAGAAGCGGCTGGCATGGAAAAACATCGCCTTCTCGGCGGCCGCCGGGCGTTTTGGTGATCTGCCTGGCTTCCTTGGCTGTGAGCAGGGGTGCCCTGATGGAGACAATCATCGTCAACAACACAGCAGCAGGCAAAGCCGGCGAGGCAGCCGCCGCGCTTCATAAGGCGATTGAGGCGGCAAACGGGCAGGACGGAGCCGACGACGTCATCTCATTTCAGGTGGAGGGCACAGCATCAGCGGCCGTCGATGTGGTGGTCTCTGAGCCACTGCCGGTGATCAAGGAAGGGCTGACCATCAGGGGGCCCGGCTCGGGCCGGCTGCGCATTGTCAAAGCCTACCACGGCCGCCCGCTCTTCCAGTTCGACGAAGGCGCCGGTCCCGCGGTGGTTCAGGGAGTCACTCTGGCCATTCACCATCCCTCCACCAGCACGATGGTCGTCACGAAGGCCAGGTCCCTCACTCTCACCGACGTGGTCATCAAGGGCGTCAAGAAGCACAACAGCGGCCGAGGCATCTACTGCGAAGCTGGGGGCAGGGGCGGCGTGCACCTGACGTTGGATGCCGTCGAGATCGCTCACATGAAGGTCCATCACGATGACGGCGGTGGGATCCTCGCCAACTGCGGCCTGACCGTCAGGTCGTCGGAGGTGCATTTCAACGCGGCGGGCAGGGGCGCGGGCATCTTCCTGGGGCCGATGGCGCAGAAAGTGGACATCTCAGCGACCAAGATCATGAACAACCATGCAAACGGTGAGCGAAACATGAAGCAGTTGACGTCAATTGTGCATTGAGTTACAAGAGTCTCTCATCTCCGCTGCGCTTCAGCCGAGGGCGGAGGCATCTTCGCCACTCAGCCGACAAGCAAGGACAACGAGACGTCTGCAGCCTCACCACCCCTGGTGCTGCACGAGTCCTTGGTGGTCGGCAACTCGGCCACCAATGGCGGAGGCCTCTTCGCCGGCCGACGGGCGAACATCACACACACAGGTGGGCGGGGCGGTTAGTGCACAACACAGCGCAGCTCAGCATTGGATCGCTCCTTTGTGTGCTGTGGTCTTCCCGCAGTGTTGATGGTGAATCAAGCGCCGGAGGGTGGGGGCATCCATTTTTCAAGACGGTCTGGGGGATCTGTCGTCCGTGGTGTGAGCGTCGAAGGGAACCAGGGGAACACAGGTGTGTGTAGGGGTGTGTATGTGGGATGTCTTATCCACATGTGATCAAAAAGACAGACAGACAGACAGACAAGAGTGATCTGTGTGTGGTGTGTGTGTGTGTGTGTGAGTCTGCAGGTGGCGGCATCATGTGCAACGCCCCAGTGCAAATTGAAGACACCACACTCAGACAAAACAGGCACACACACACACACACACGCGACACCACACGAGCACACAACCGAGGCCATGCCCACGTGTCTGTCTGTCTGTCTGTCTGTTCAGGGCTCGTGGTGCGTCGTCATACGGCGGTGGTCTGTCCATAGGGAAGCACTGCGGCACCCCCACCCAACACACCACCATCACCGACAGCTTCATCCAACACAACCTCGCACACGCCGGCGGGGGCATGGCCGTCGACACGCCGGATGCACACGTCGACATCGTCCGAACCACCATCTCATCTAACGTCGCTGAGGGCCATTACGAAGGCAAGTCGTCCCTCTCTCTCTCTCTTGCGCCCCTTTGTGTCACACGGATGCTGTCTCTCTCTCGCCCTCTCTCTCTCTCTCTCTCTCTCTCTCCCTCTCTCCCTCCCTGTCTGTGTGGGTGTTTCTAGGAGGTGGTGGCGGAGTTTGGATAGGCCAGAGGGTCGCTTCTCTTTCTTTCAGAGAGAGCATCGTTGCGGCCAACGAGTACAGTGACACCACCAGTGAGGGCACGGAGACCGCCGCCACGGCCAGGAGGCAGAACTGTGGGTCGAGCAGCGAGGAGCAGCCGGGCGTTCATGACAAAGGGGGCAACTGGGCGCCGCTATGCCAACATCTACTCACACACGCTGACACGGTGAGCAGACGAGAAGAACAAGGGAAAGGCTCCCTTTGCAATGTGTGCGTGTGTGTGTGTGCGTGTATGGTTGGTCCGCCCACAGTCGCCAGATGCCCCTGAGGGCATGGAGGTCCGTCACAGCGTGATGCCGCTCCCCAAGGCAGGCAGGCCTTCCCATGGTCGGCCGGCACACCTCCACACACAACACGACACACGTGTGCGCAAGAGTCCAGACAGCCCTCTGCTGCTGTCCTGTCCTGCCCTGCACTGCCCAAACAGACAGCCCGCGAAGCAACAACAGCAACAAGAGCAGAAGGGAGACCCAGGCAGCCCCCCCATCAGTACCCAAGGCCGCAGCGGCCCTCGCAGCGGCCACTAACAAGGTCTTCCTCAGCTGCTTCGAAGATGGCGTCGAGTACGGCGTCACGACCAACGCCACCCACCCCCTTGACCTTGGCAGCGCCAGAGTCACCAACATCCACGCCTGTCAGGAGCTCTGCCAGCAGTCGCCCAACTGTCAAGCCTTCTCCTACATGGCCAGCGACCGGATCTGCTATCTCAAGGCCGCTGAAGAGCCCACGAAGCCAAACGCCGACCTGACGAGCGGGCCGAGAGAGTGTGAGGACCTCAAGAGCAGAACGGACGATGGGAGAGACGAGGAGAGGGATGAAGGGGAAGAGGGAGAGGAGTCGGGTGATGTGGATGTGTCTGATGAGACGTGGATGGATTTCGTGGAGGGTGTCACGCCGGAGATGGAGAAGAAGATACGGCTGGCGATGCTGGTGAGTGAGGGAGGGAGGGAGGGAGGGAGGGAGTGGGCGTGCCTGAGTGCAACCCCCCGCCCATCTGTCCATGGATGGATGGATGGGTATTGTGGGCGCCACTGTGTGTGCAGATTGCCAAGCTCAATCGCGCGACAACTGACGCAGAAGAAGAAGATTCAGAAGACTCAGAAGACACCGAACAAGAAGAGGTCGACGATGAGGTCGACAAAGATGCTGATGAGCTGGCGGGCCTGGAGGGGCTGGATGTGGGTGGGGGGGTGGTGACCGAGGCCGCCGTGGCCGCCGTGGCCAGACGCCCCCCCAAGCCCTACCCAGGCGCCACACACAGCCCCAACCCCAACTCCCGCCCCAACCAAGTGCCAAGAACCCCGCCACGGACCCCCCACGCCCATCGGTACCCTCCCTGCTTCCAATTGGGCGTCGGCTACCACTTCCCAACGAGACGGGGGGACCTTGGGGACGCGCCCAACGTGACGTCGGCCCGGGTGTGTCAGCGGCTGTGCCAGTGGAAGCCCAGCTGCCACGTGTTTGTGTTTGACCAGAAGAAGGCCACCTGCTACTTCAAGGGGCAAGGTGGCCGGAGGGAGGCGAAGATCGGAATGGTGAGCGGCCCGAGGGCCTGCGACGACTCGCTCATCGGCTACTCGGGCGAGGATAATCATGACGACGGCCAAGGCGAGGAGTACTGGGAAGAGCCGACCGCTGCCCCGGCTGAGCATGCCGACAAAGAGAGCGCTTCATCCTCGGCTGCCTCGGCACTGGCCGCCATCGATATACCAGGCAGGTGACACACAAAGGGCCAGAGAGGCAGGCAGACGGTGGACGCTCCTCCCTCCCTCATCAGCTCTCATTACGGGTGACGGCGGGTGTTTCGAGATGGGTGTCGAGTACTCCGACGACAGCCCGGACAGCAACCTGGCCTCGGTCGGCAAAGTCGCCTCCCTCCTCGACTGCCGCGACGCCTGCAGCAGCCGACCCGCCTGCCTCTTCTTCACATTCGACCCACACAAGTACATGTGCCACCTGAAGGACGAGAGACTCCCCGTCAGGGCCAATGCCCACGTCATCTCGGGGCCGAGAGTCTGTGGCGAGCAGGCGGCCCGGCCGCGGAGAGCACTGTCGACCATCCCGGCGGCGACTGAGGACGTGGTCATGAGACACAGGACCACGGCGGTGGCTGCGCAGGTCGACAGTCCGACAGCAGCACGAGCGAGGGTGAGGGAGCCCTCATGGCAACAGCCATGGCCACAGTCGCCGCCCATTCCTGGGGCGTTTGCAGGTACGAATCTACTCCCAGGCACCGCACCTAATACCATTTCTCTCTGCCTGTCCGTGTGTGTGTGTGACGACTGAGCAGTGGTGCTGCAGAAGCAGCAAGGCGCCACCGCCGCCAGCGTCACTCTGAGAGCCGCCATCGGGCATCAGTCGACAGCAGGCGTCCTCCTCACCAACCTGTTCACCATAGCCAGCAGCTATGAGTATCAACACCAACACGACCATCAGCACGAACGCGCCATATTCTTCACCCTCGAGCAGCCCCCGCCGGAGACACACCCGCTGCCCGAGGGCTTCCTGGTGTTCCTGGGCTCTCTAGGGCCCGACGAGTCGCCCGAGCGGCCGACATCCTTTGTGAGGGGGGAGGTGGCCTTCACAACCGTCGGCACACGGCAGCCCGTTCATGATCGTGATGACGATGACGATCCTGATGACGGGTATCGGCTGCTACGGCCGTCGACATCATCACACCGCCATTTGCAGCACCAGCAGCAGCAGGAGGGCAACACAAGTAAGAGACAGAGAGAGAGGGGGGGGACACGCATACACTGTTGTGTGCGTGGCCGATGTGTCCGATGTGTCCGATGTGTCTGGTGTGTCTGTGTGTGTGCAGGAGTGCCGTCTCGTCAGTGTCTGTTGTTTCGGTGCCACTCGTCAGCGAGAGCCGGCACTGCTACCATCGACCTCCGCGGGCTGCTGGGGGCGGAGGACACGAACGGCAGGAGGGGAGCGAGTCTGACCGACTCTGTAGTGCTACACATGGGTGAGTGAGTGGGTGGGTGGGGTAGGTGGGTGGGCGAGCATCGGTGACGTTAGCTATCGACTCGACGACTGAACATCTTTGTCGGTGCTGTGTGTGTTCAGAGTGTGTCAAGGGCAGATGAGATGAGCGGAGCGGTGTGGGTGTGCTGACCTGCCTGATGCCCTGCGTCCATTGCGCCTCCCTCTCTCTCTCTCTCTCTGTCTCTCTCCATCCCTCTGTTTGCTTGTTCTTTGTTGCGTGCATGGACGCTGTGTGTGTGTGTGTGTGTGTATGTGCATGTGTGTGTGTGTATGTATGTGCATGTGCAGTATTTGTTGTGGTCTTCTCGACACTAACAGGCACACAGACGGGTGGCCAGGTAGGTCCGCCCGTACTGGACGTGACGTGAGCAGATAGCTAGGTGCATGTCATGAATTCGTGAAGGTCACCAACCATGATGACTAAATAGTCCGTCCAAACCTCCCTCTGCACACGACACTCAGACACACAGATGTCATAACGGACGGACAGAGACAGAGAGAAGTGAGCACCGGCGGTCCGCCACCCACACCGCCGGTGCCCTCAGCGAAGATCTCCGTCCCCGCCTCCTCACACGCACATCAACGACCGTCCGTCTGTGTGTCGATCTCTCCTCCCTTGAATGACGGCCTTGCTCACTGCATCGGCCGAGAAACGACTCGCACACGAGTAGGTGTGTATAAAGTAACTCCCTCGCCGGATCCCGCCGTTGTCGCCGGCCGCGAAGGGGAAGTGAATTGGGGGCGGGGGGCGTCCCGAGCCCCGGCCGTCTCGCGCGTCGCTTGAAGTTCACATTCCTTATCCCAATTCTTATCCCCACTCCTCCGCGTGCCGTGTTGAGGCCAATAGGTGGAAGCTCTCACAACGAGAAATTCAATCATCATGTTCAACTTGACGTTGGGTCAACTGCTGCTCCTGGCTCCGCTCCTGTGGCTGGCCTTCTTGACGGCTGAGTCGGCATCCTGGAAGTCCACCGTCCCGCACGCACTGAAGGTGGGCCAACGTCAAAATCATCGGCACCGATGACATTGTGCTGTGCCCCCTTGGCCCAACCTGTTTGTTTTAGCTGCAGCAGCGCATTAATGGCACACTGTCAACAGGAGCGGCAGTCGCATGGGGATGCGAGCAGAATGCGAGGCATACAGGTGCAAGCCTTCCGCTTCACCCACCAGCTTTGAGGACCTGCCCGACATCACTGACAGCCCGCCCCGCTGCTACGACAAGGAGACGAAACTTGTCTACTCCTGCGACGGGCCCAACAAGCTGGTGTGTCACCGCACCGCATGTCTGCATGTATATTCATCGCCTCTCTTGCTGCGCGCCTTGTCGCATGCAGACCTATGTCGCGGCCCTCGAAGCCTCATCTGGGCATTTCTCCATCCAACCCTCATATGGAGATTTCTTCCATCTTACGAGAGCAGGCTACGACGCGCGCAACGAGTGGGCACAGCACCTCGCTCATACGAAGTCCTCTTACTTGTGTATATGACAACAGAGAACCGATACTTGAATGGCTCGGAACATATAGCGAGGTCCGAGATGGCGAGCCGCACAAGTGCTTCATTCGTGATCCCTTCGCCAAGTGCCCCACAAGAAGCGGTGGGTACTCGCAAAGTAGAGACATGCTCTGCCATGTCCACCCGTAGCTGCTGTTGTGTGTCTCATGCAGTTCTGCGCCCACCCTGCGCTCCAAGTGACTGCAGATTTGCCGGAGACAAGAAGGGCCCCTTTTCTTTCAAATCTGCCCCTGGATGCCTCAAAGAAGGGAAGGTCTACAAGTGCGACACGGCCAGCAAGACTCTGGTATGAAGAATAATACACCTACATGGCCGTACGTAAAGTGTCTTAAGAGTCCCCTGTCTCAATATAGATGTTGGTTCTTGACGTCACGGTGAATCAGGCCGAGAACACACAGCCGTTCCTTCAGGTCTGTCTGCGCAGACCGTATGTCAACACACACGTCGGCTTTTATTGTCTGTGCTGCACAGTTCACTGTGAAACGTCGCAGCCACTCCGGTTGGCAGCTCTACCAGTGCCGCCTGCCGAAAGTCTTCATCTGCCCCACCGACTTCACGGTCAAGAACATCGACTTCCTGAAAGGAGCCTGAGAAGAAATGAATCCCTCTGCAGCACATCACACAAAGACAGAGAGACAGAGACAGAGAGAGAGAGACAGAGAGATTCATGAACACACACGACAGGACAATCATTTGCGGACGGCAGTCCGTCCCCATGAAGTGGTCTGTCTGTCTGCTTTGTCTGTCTGTTTGTCTGTCTGTCGTCTCCCGACTGACCATGGAAACGTCCACAGTCTCTGTCTCAAGACGCACACAGACGCAAAAACCACTCACAGTACAAAGCACACATGTCTGCACCCAGCCAGCACCCACCACTACTCCCCCCCTACGCTCACTCAGTCAGTGTCCGCCACTGTCTTGCTCGGCATCCTGGTCGACGTCCTCATGCTTCTTCAGCCTGACACCGCCCAGCCCAAGACACACGGCCATGAACGAGCCATCCACACGAGGGTGTCGATCCCAAGGAGGCCTGCCAGCCGCCTCCATGAGCACCATACACACGCACCTCTGCCGGAGTGACTTTATCTCTTCGTTTTTCTTCTGCAGCATCGACTGCACACACGCACACACAAAGATGCGCACGCACTCTCGTGCAGGATATGACACCCCGCCTCGCCTCTGTGTTGGTGCTCACCTTGAGCTGTTTGACGGGTGCCGACTCTGAGAGGCGCCTCTGCTGGTCGGCCTGCAGATCGGCCAGGGCTGCGTCTTTGGCTGACAGCAACGCCTGAACCAAACAAACAGCGTGTAGTACTGCTAGGTGCTTCCGTACCGCCACGAGTGCGGCCAAACAAACAAACGTGCCTTTGTGTCGTTGAGCGATTTTTCGATCTCCTCCATCTGTGCCCTGCCAGCCGGCTGCATCAATTGGCCGGCATACGCGACACCCATCCATCCATCCATGTGTGTCGGTCGGCGTGCCGCGCGCTGCGTACCTCGCCCTCGATCTCTTTGAACTTCTTCTTGAGTATCTTGAAGTTGCCCTTGACCTTGTCGAGCTCCTCCCCCATCGCCGACCGCTCCTTCAGCAGCTCAGACAACTGCACACACTCACAGGGGACACACAGCATGTGTGGGTGGGTGAGTAGGGGTGTGTAGGTGTTTCTTTGCCTGCTGCTGCATCTGCTGCTGCCTGTCGATGAGCTGCTGGTTCTGATCCCTCGCCTCCTGCAGCTCATGCAGGGCCGTCGGCGAATGGCCAGAGGCCCCATGCGCTGCCTGACCGTCATGCAGACAGACGGACAGACAGACAGACCGGCAGACAGACAATGTGGTCAAGAAAGAGGGTATCCTTCTTTGTTGCTTACCCCCAGCACCGGCAAATGTCCTCGCTTGGCGGCGCCCTGCACACATTACACACATGGAGGTACACTGACGGGCGCATTGGACGCTGCATGTCCTGTTGATATGTGCAGCCATGCAGTTACGTGTTCGTGTACGTGTGCGTCACCTCACCGAGGTGAGGTCGAGTTTTTTGAGGGCCGCGGTGGCCGAGGCGGCCTCACCCAACGCAGCAACCTCCTGCACACGATGCCTGAACAGATAGATAAAGCACTACACGCGTGTCTGTCCCTCCCTCCCTCCCTCCCTCCCTCCCTCCCTGTGTGTGTGGGTGTTGGCATCAGCCAGCTACGTACTGGTCTTCAGCGAGTGCGGTGTCGGACGAGAGTTGGACGGCCTGCTGCTGTGCGGCAGTGCACAGCTGCGCGAAGACGACGCCCGAGAGGTTGGCCAGGCTCTCCAGCTCCTCGCGCACCAGCTCCTTCAGCCGCTCACTTAACGCACCCAGCATCTCCTCGGCCTAATAGATGGATAGATGGATGGATGGATGTGTCTGCGAGTGAAGGACTCTCGGGAAGAACGTACGTCTTTCTTGGTGAAGACGTCATCGATGCACCTGCCAACCGAACAGACACGCACACAGGCGTATCACATCTATCGTGCCGCCCAGCAACGCACCTTTCGTCCTTGACGTCGTCGGTGGTGTCTGTGACCTCTTTGATGAATCGATCTCGCCTGCCCTTGCAGTGCAGCAGGTAACGCTGCAGCTGCTCACGGTGGCTCTCACTCAACTCCATTTTTGGCTTTTCTTCACCATCGGGTTTTGGGTTCGGAACCCTGGACCCCATGCGAGCTCAATGCACCCAACTCAGGGAATGTCGTAGGGGATGAGATCTCGGCGGGTCTGAGAAGAAGATGGACACATCGCAGGTCGAAGGTGAGTGAGAACCGACGCAGACAGGCAGACGCCACGCTGTGCCTGCCACACATCTATCAATCTGCGTGCATGATTGAAGCTGTGTGTGTGTGTGTGTGTCAGTTCCGCTAGATCTGATTCGTCTGAGTCTGGATGAGAAGGTCTACGTCAAGTGCAAGGGCGACAGAGAACTCACCGGCAAACTGCACGTACGTCAGCCAGCCGTCGTCCATCAATCAATCACCAGGCAGACAGGCAGACAGGCAGCAGACGTGTGTGTGTGTGTGTGTGTGTGTGTGTGAGGTGTGTGATTGTGTGACGGTGTCATCAGGCGTTTGACCAGCACTTGAACATGGTACTTGAGGCGGTGGAGGAGACCGTCAAGACCACATATGTCGACGAGACGGACGGCGAGGAACGCGTCAAGGTACGTGGAGGGGGAGGCAGGCAGTAGTCACTTCCTAGATCAACACTTACTTGCAGAGCACTCTGATGTGCGTCTGCGTGTGTGTGTGCGTGCGTGTGTGTTCAGCGTACGAAGCGGACGATGGAGATGCTGTTTGTGCGCGGCGATTCCGTGATACTGGTGTCCCCCCCGGTGCGGACACACCAGTCATGACAACACATCACGCACGCACACACACATTGACTGGTGTAGCTGCGACCTGTGACCTTTGAGACCCCATTCGCGAACAGGTGTGTGTGTGTGTGTGTGTCGAAAGATTCCCATAGCCGTTTCACCTTTCACTGTTTGTTGACCCGTTGATGCCTGCCTGCCTTACTACCACTACGTCTACACACACGCACACCAACGAGCGGACAGACCGACACACACACGCACACACACGTCCATCCATCCATCCAGAGCATGCAACGTATATTTGCAAAGAAAACACTGTGTGTGCACACGAAGGGCACACAGACGGGCGGAGAGAGAGAGAGAGCGCGGCACATCACGCGACATACGCACATCCAGCACACATACGCTAAAACCCGTCCATCGGGCAGACAGACAGACAGACCGACAGAGACAACATGCGTCGACACATGCATGTCCGTTGTCGTTTGCGTGTGCAGACAAGTCTCAGCTTCCTTCGTGTCGATCGTGGGTTCATCTTCATACGTGTGTCGTCTTTCGTTTCACCTTCATTTATCGATCCGTTCGTTCGTTCGTTCGTTTGTGTGTCCGTCACGGTGATTACGTACGTGTAAACACACAGGCAGACGACAAGATACAGACAGAAGGCGACGCGCGACG